TGCTTCAGCCTTTTCCGTTGTGCAAAAGACCGGCTCATATCCGCAGGCGGTTGTCGATCAATATTTAATTAATACGGGTGGTGGCGACAGGTCACGGTCCACAGTTTTGCACGAGGGTCGTAACAATACGTTTGGTCGGCTGGCGGTTGCGCGTCTCGCAATGTCTCGCTGAGGAATGCGTCGTCCGAGAATGTAATAACGATAGACGCTGAAATGTTGTTAAGTGTTAGCGTTCGATGAAGCAAGTGAGACTAAGGTTAAACAATGTGAGCAAAGAGAAGGAATATGTCTGGTTATTTAAAGAGAGGGACAAAATTTTTAAAAAAAATGGTTGAAAAAGACCAGTCAATCTTTTTATCAAAATCCCTAAGTTATTTTTTTTAATGCCAAGTCTCTTCAGAGCGTAGGCGATCATGTCTCTCCACAGATTTCTTTTCTTTAATATATATGAATTTCCATGATTTCCTGGGAAATATGGTGGAGTGATTTCTCGTTGCATTTTTCGCGATGAATGTATTCAGAATAGTATTTCTCGTAGACTAACTTCTATAAAAGTCTTGAGAACCCATTCTGTCTCGTTATTTACCCGATCGCTGTTGGAAGGCTCCATTTGTGACTTCTCCAAAGGAATTATTGCGAAATTGGACAGGAATTTGAACTCGGACCTTACTGCGCGAATAACCGTTAAACAGTATTAGGATATTTTTTTAATTACCTTTTATAAGATATATATGGGGCAGGTGAAACTTTAGTCAATTTGAACACCCACAAAAGTTTTTTTTTTTAAGATGGGGTTAGATTTTGCGAGTAGATATTATATTAAGAATTTTTGTCAACAATAATGATTTTTCCAGATACAATTCCTGCTATTTAACCCAAAGATGGAGGAAGAGATAGATTCATACCTTTTCTTTTGGGTTGGTGCATAACTATCAGGCGTTTTTAAACACTATTTATTATGAAAAAAAAAAACATAACAATTCAACAATAACATTTTAAAATGATCATTCCGGGGCGTATGATTATCGACACGCATTTTTATAACCTGAAAATAAAATATTTTTATTTAAAAAAAAAATTAAGCAAAACAGCAATTTTTATTAACACATAACTCGACTACAAAATCGCCTGATAATTATGCACCAACCTAATAATTTTATTTATGCGTAAGTGAATGTTACGAAACAGACTTGAATTCGACTCTTCAACTTCTGATTCCCAGCTGCTATTTATTACACAAACGAAAAGTTCATTAAAAAAGGCACAGAAGAAAAAAGAATTAGCGAATGTGATTTTTCTAATGCCATGTATCTTCAGGGGTTGGGCGGTCACGGCTCTGAACAGATTCCTTTCCTTGAATATCTAAAAATAGCAATAAATTCTTGGGTGAAATGCTTTCCCTTTGCCTTCTCCAGCGTTTTGATTTGCGGAGTAGCCTTTCTCTGATACTGGCTGCCACTCAAAGTTAAAGAGTCCAATCTACCTTGTTATTTAACCAAATGGGTCCATATCTTTCCAAAAGAAATTTGTGCAAATGTCAACAGAACTGCCAGAATTTGAACTCAGCTTACTGATTCCACTATCTATACCAGTCTCCGTTACACCAGCCGCACATCCCTTCGAAATTATTCTTTCTATATACCGCGGTCTTTAACGACTATGGCTCTCCACAATTTCCTCTCTTCTCTCTATTAATAAATTTTGTCTTATATGTTATCTTTCCTAAACCTTGTGCCGCCATCCATTTACTCAAGCTCGCTAGGTAAGTTACGCGTTATTTTCCTCTGTTCCGCTTGCCTTTAATTTGCCCTGTGAGTATTAAATTTTCCAAGCCTTTTTTATGTCCCTTAAAAATTTCAACTGTCTCGTGCTGATGTCCTCTTTGTTGCTATTGTCTCTAGAATTTCCTCGTTGCTCACATTTTCGGTCCATGGTATTCTCAGCATCCTTCTGTAGCACCACATTTCTGCTGCCTCAATCTTCTTCATCTACGAGGAGATTGTCCAGCATCCACTGCCATATAGGCCGACTGATAAAATGTGACTGTTCAGTAGTCTTTTCTTTGCTTCTAACGATATTTTTCCTGTTTCTTGTTAGTTGCTTAGCTTTTGGAAGCTATCTTTCACTATCCCAATGCGAAGTGTTATGTCGCATTTACCGTCCCCTGTTAAAAACTACAAAGATATTTAAAATGTTTTACTTGTTTCCTTTTGGTATCTCCAATTTGTAATTTTCAAGTTGGACTGTTCTATTTTCTAAAAGCCATGCATTGTGTCTTCTTGCAATTGATGTTTAGTCCTTTCTTCTCGCTTTCCTTAGGTTTTTTTTCTGCGTCTGCTATCAAGACTATGTCATCTGCATATCTTATGCTGCTAAGATTGGCCGTCAATAATGAATCCTTGTTGGATTTGTAATTCTCTCAGGATTGTCTCGCTAAAAATGAGATTTTTTTTAATATATATGATGTGTGCGTGTGAGTCGTTATTTAAACAATGTAACTAGTGACAAAGAACATTGCCGGTTGGTTAAAGAAAGTAACAGAAAAATGTGCGCAGAATCACTGAGAAGTGAGAATGCCTTGAAATTAGGAAAGTCGCAAATCGCCTTTACCTAAACATAAGTTACGAATGAACACTTGATTTATAGTTAAAAAAAAAAGATAATTCGATCAAGTTTCATACCTAAAATCCTGGCAATGTTCAGCTCAAATGAATGGCAATCAATAGGCCCCATTTTGTGGTGTCTAAACCAGCCAGTGATATCCCAAAATGGCTTCCCAGAGCAAGTAACTTTCTCTACACTGGAAACACAATTCCTAAAATAACCCTTAAACGATGAGCATCAGGAATTGATATTTCATTGGAGATCAGCGAGTATCAATTCGTGATTTTAAATCTTTTCCAACGATACGGGCGGGTAGTTACTCATGACTCGAGTCTAAACGTCACGATTGGCATTTCAAGAATACTTTTTTTTTTAAATAATTTCACCCCAAGCAAAATAAATAAATCTACTAAGACGGAAGGGGTTACTGATAGTGAATGAATTTGATAAAAATATTAAAGGGAGGGGAAAATAAAAGAAAATGGATTAAGAAAACATGAAATAACGATTGGCATTTTAAAGATCAAAGTTGACTGGGAAGCTAGAAAACAGAAGAGAGTTCCACAAGCGAGAAGTGCGAGAGAAGAAACTGTTAGCATAGAACTTAGGGTTACCACTTGCCATTTCAACTGCAAAACAATGAGATCTAGCTGCCAATCTAGTACTGCGTTTAAGTAACATAAAGTCTAGGTACCATAGAGGAAAGTTCGTCAGAACAATTATCATGACAATATTTATAGAAAAGCTACAGGGAAGCTATGTTATGGCAGTGGAAAAGGGACTGAAGCCGAGGTGCCAACAACATTACAGATTATTTGTATTTTATCAAAAATCTCTAAAAAAAAAAAAAAAGCATAGTAGAAGCACCTGAATAGATGTGACAGCAATATACAATGGATGAATGGTAGACTTATACATGTGTAAGATAGATTCTGGCGAGAGAAATTGTCTAACACGATACAGTGAAACAACTTTCTTAACAGTAGAGCTACTAACTGATTCAATATATTCTTTCCACTTCATGCCAGCGGAAAACATTAGCCCGAGAAGGCGCAATGGGTCTCTTTCATGGAGGTTAGCATCAGCCATGCTGATGGAAGGCAAAAAGAAATGTTCTCTCAGACGATTAAAAAGGAGCAGTTTCGTTTTGGAGGCGTTGAAAATTAGCAAGTCATTCCTTGCCCCAATTAACAAGAGATTCCCTACACGCATGGCGCTAATGACCCAGCGGTCCTCTGGTGACAGATACCGGCGGGCAAACATAGGCCTCTAGCGGTCTGCTAGTGGTAACATTGCCGACACGAACACGGCGGCGGTCCGACAACAGGCCACCAGCGTTAAACGCTAGTGGCATGCCACATATTGGCAGATTGGTGGCTTGCGTGTAGGGTTGTAGATTGTTTTTAAATCAGCTACCAATTTGATCTTAGCAAACCAATAAAACATACTATTAAGGTAGAAGTCGTTGTCTGTGTTTTATGCATTTTATTATTCAAACTATTCTTTAAATATCCAATGCCATTGTGTGCGTTTATGCAATATTTTACCACACAGCATAATTTCTAAATATTAAATGCTGTTGTCTGTGTTTTATGCATTTTTAACATGCAAGCCATTCTCGAAATATCAAATGACATTGGGTGTGTTTTATGCAGTGTTTTATAAACCAGTCTACATTCGAAATATCAAGTTACCATTATGTGTTTTATGCAATATTTTATAAAGCAGCCTACACTCGAAATATCAAGTGCTATTATGTGTTTTATGCAATGTTTTATAAAGCAGTCTATACTCGCAATATCAAAAGCCATTGTGTGTGTTTTATGCAATATTTTATTTTGATTTCAATGCTTTAGATGACGTTTTTGCGAAAATCAATAAAGAAATATGATGAACTGATTAGATGTACGATAGATAGGCGTCGATAATATGGAGAACGGACGATATAGATAACATTTAATTAATTTTTTTGTTCTGATCTTTAATTAACCGGCATTTTTATATATCGCTGCCATTTTTAATTTCGTGATCTTGTTTTTCATAGGCCATCTTCGATCTGTTCTTGTTTTTATTTTAATCCCAAGGGTTTAAACACTTTCGTTATTGTCTACTAGCAGTTATACCCGGTGTTGCACGGGCCAAGTCCCAATGCTTCACTGAGCTACACAGTCTTTCCTTATAGATAAATGCGCGTGACATAAAAATGAAACTAGGAGTAAACCATTTAAATCAACTGCCATTGGAATGCTGGATGGCAGTTAGGTGTAAATGACATTATAGGCTTAACTATGTATTTGACTTTTAAGGAATCCTTGCGGAGCATAATATGCATCTCACTGAACATAGGCCGGGAAAACTAAAAGTGAACAGTGAGTAGTGATTCATAACCTTTTACCATGTTCGCACCCCTTTCAAACCATCAACCAGCTCTCGTGCCCCATTCAAACCATCAACCAGCTCTCGCACACCTTTCAAACCATCAACCAGTTCTCGCGGCCCATTCAAACCAGCAACCAGCTCTCGCGACCCATTCAAACCATCAACCAGCTCTCGCGCCCAATTCAAACCATCAACCAGTTCTCGCGCCCCATTCAAACAATCAACCAGCTCTCGCACCCCATTCAAACCATCAACCAGTTCTCGCGCCACATTCAAACCATCAACCAGCTCTCGCACCTCTTTCAAACCATCAACCAGTTCTCACGCCCCATTCAAACCATCAACCAGCTCTCGCGCCCCATTCAAACCATCAACCAGCTCTCGCACCCCATACAAACCATCAACCAGCTCTCGCGCCCCATTCAAACCATCAACCAGCTCCCGAGCCCCATTCAAACCATCAACCAGCTCTCGCGACACCTTTCAAACCACCAACCAGTTCCCGCGCCCCATTCAAACCATCAACCAGCACCCGCGACCCATTCAAACCATCAACCAGCTCCCGCGCCCCATTCAAACCATCAACCAGCTCCCGCGCCCCATTCAAACCATCAACCAGTTCCCGCGACCCATTCAAACCATCAATCAGCTCTCGCGCCCCATTTAAACAATCAACCAGCTCTCGCGCCCCATTCAAACCATCAACCAGCTCCCGCGACCCATTCAAACCATCAACCAGCTATCGCGCCCTATTCAAACCATCAACCAGCTCTCGCGCCCCATTCAAACCATCAACCAGCTCCCGTGCCCAATTCAAACCATCAACCAGTTCCTGCGCCCAATTCAAACCATCAACCAGCTCCCGCACCCCTTTCAAACCATCAACCAGCTCTCTCGCCCCATTCAAACCATCAATCAGCTCTCGCGCCCCAATCAAACCATCAACCAGTTCCCGCGCCCTATTCAAACCATCAACCAGCTCCCTCGCCCCATTCAAACCATCAACCAGTTCCCGCGCCCCATTCAAACCATCAACCAGCACCCGCGCCCCATTCAAACCATCAACCAGCTCCCGCGACCCATTCAAACCATCAACCAGTTCCCGCGCCCCTTTCAAACCATCAACCAGCTCTCGCGCCCCTTTCAAACCATCAACCAGCTCCCGCGACCCATTCAAACCATCAACCAGCTCTTGCGCCCCATTCAAACCATCAAACAGCTCTCGCGCCCCATTCAAACCATCAACCAGCTCCCGCGCCCCATTCAAACCATCAACCAGCTCTCGCGACCCATTCAAACCATCAACCAGCTCTCGCGCCCCATTCAAACCATCAACCAGCTCCCGCGACCCATTCAAACCATCAACCAGCTCTCGCGACCCATTCAAACCATCAACCATCTCTCGCGCCCCATTCAAACCATCAACCAGCTCTCGCGACCCATTCAAACCATCAACCAGCTCCCGCGCCCCATTCAAACCATCAACCAGCTCTCGCGCCCCATTCAAACCATCAACCAGCTCTCGCGACCCATTCAAACCACTAATCTGTTATCGCTCCCCTTTCCGAACTGATAAAAAGCAATATTTATCTCATGTGTAAAACAAAACCATTGTGTTTATTTAATCTTTATTCAGATGACTGACAACAAAATAATGTATTACAAAACCCCAGATTACTTTCATATTAGCAAAAAAATAAGATAACAGTAGCATGTGCGCTTGAATTGTATATGGTGTGTTGTGAATGACTATGGTTGAGCAACAAATTCAGTAACTTTGTTGATGTTGTTTTCTGTTTATGATGACATCAAATCTTGGTGTCTTGGTGCTGAGTGCTACTCACCATGTCGTGTTGAGGCTCCAATCGATTTCTGCATTCTTTTGATTTGAAGCAGACAGGAAAATCCAGTTTTGCACAGGTATGTAGTCGTGAAAGACACCAGCACAGCGAGAGCTTTTTTGCCAGTACAGGATACATTTCTAACTGAGAAACCAGGAATTTCTCCAGGCGACCATCAGTGAACCCCACTTGGATTCCAAGATTTTTTTTTTACCCTAAGTATACATTTACGTTACTACTATGGTAGCAATTGGTAAAATTTCTACAATGTAAATTTTCATGCCACCAACCACTACAATAGAGTTTATTTAATAAGCCAACCCTAATAATTCAGAATTATTGCATCTTAACCCGGGGTGGTCGCACCCCCTCGAGGTGCGACCACCCCGGATTAAGAACCAGTGCTTAGGAATAGATGAATATTAAACTACCAAAGGACCAACATTAGTATCACGAATACCTGAAACCTATACCCCATCGCCCGTCATGCGGGTTACAAAGAGGCGTGTCCCACTGTTATCCTGATCGCGGCACAATGTTCTAAAAATCAGCTACGGGGTCACCAAATAAAACTTCTTGCGGGCGCAAAAAATCTACATTAATTTCAACTTTCAACGTTCGCCCACATAACTCCATAAATCTGTCTGCTTCGGGGTTCTTGATAGGCTCCAGTGGCGGATATGCAATATGGTTGGCCCTGCCCTGGCGTCTCGTCTACAGTCACTTTCTCACAGACGCGCCGTCGCCTCCCTCTGTCTGTTCTACAAATACTTTCATGGAAATTGCTCCGAGGAGCTGCATTCGCTGGTCCCCAGACGTCATGAGTTCCAGCGCCCTACGAGGCTGGCATCCCGCTCTCACCCACTCACTGTCGAAACTCCTAAATGTAGCCGTCTCTTCTACTCTAATAGCTTCATGTCTCGCACCTCACGCCTGTGGAACTCCCTTCCCCTCTCCCGTTTCCCTGCGAGCTATAATCTCCAGCTATTCAAGTGTAATGTCAATCGACATCTCCAGTTGCCCTAATCTATCCACTACCCTCATCCTTTCTTCTATCACTCCTATCTGATCTTGCTATTTCCTGTAACCCCTTGCATCCTAGTGGCTTCCCGCCTTGCTTGGGGTGAAACGCTTTAAAAAAAAAATCAGTTGCCTGAATTCGTCTCATTTACCATTGAACTGAATATCAATGTCATCCGTATTTAGGAACACCGGTATTTTCATCCTGATGTCAACCTCAGACATCACATCTGTTGGAAAAAGCTGGGTCTTCATCTCAGCCTCGGCTGAGGAAAAAATTCCACATGTATTAATATTGGCAGTGTTGGCATGTTACCCGTTCCACTAGCCAATAATGCGCCCATCAACAATGAAGAGATTGAACCCAGACTCATCATAGCTAGCTTCAACGGCAACCCTATAACGACCATCATTTCTTGTTATTCACCACCAAACTCTAGCAACGAAGAAAAGCTGACACATTTCTATCAATGACTCTCTTCTCTTGTCAGACTAGTTCTAACCCATAATTATAATTATGATTACCTGATTATTGGTAGGGAAATAAATCCTCAGGTTGGTGTCAGTGATGTACACAAATGTGTATATCATGCGTCCTCTAATAGAAATGGATGCTTTCTCTAATAATTTATACAGGAAAATAATCTTGTATGCCGAACCGAAGCTTTAAATACAACATGGGAACCAGTAATAAGGGGTGCCAGAGAAAAGCGATAATAACAACAAAGTTGCAATATGAGCTCTGGTAAAAACACGCAATGATAACAGCAAAAATTGCAATATGAGCACTGGTAAAAATGGTTGCTGAAGACATTAGGTTTATAATGCCCAGAAATTCATACACAGATGCCCACAAGGACATATGGCACAGTGGATAAAGGCGTTGGTTAGATCCAGTGACAGAACCCAAAGAGTGTGAGTTCAATGTGAACTTTCAGAGGGAAAATTAACAGGAGATAACTGATAACTGACATCCATTAAACATGGCACTAAAACAGTTTACCCCAGTGAGCGAATTCAGTTCGACATTTCAACCACCATGTAATAAATATGGCGACAAAGATGAGGACAATAGTCCGAATACTGTAAATAATGTACATAATACCTCAACTCAGAAATATAGACAGATATTGAAGAGCTTTAAACAATTAACATTCACCCAAGTCAATGGCACCGTGACGCAAGTGTGTCACATCCTAATAAACAAGAAGTGAGCGAATAGTGCAATTAATTGCCAAGTTTTCAGAACATTTTAAAGAGTATATCTTCAGACCATTGGATTGTCTATTCCACCGTCTGACTTAGACTTAGCGCCAATAAGAAAAACAATCTGCTTTCTCGCCGTACAACTGGTCTCTTCTAACAACAGACATCCCAAAGACTAGTACACAATTGCTGTCAGCAATAAATTTGAAACACTACAAGCAGATGCTGACAGATCATCTCCTAATGCCACCTACAATAATGTTGTCATTTCTCGTGAAAAAGCTGCAGCAGATGTTATACCCTTAAAACCTAAACAACAAATGGAAATGAAATGGTATTGAATAAAAAGGCCTAATGTGGAAGCAAAAGCCGCCATAAAAAAACTCAAATCTGTCACTTAAATCTATCCAAGACATCAATGAAGTGCCTGCTCAACTCAAAAACTCTTATCAAGTTCAACAAGCTGAGCATACCCAGGAAAGTATTCAATTCAACTTTGCTGCTGCCAAGAAACTGTCTGCTCTTACTTACAAAACTGTCAATGAGATCAGTGGTAAAAAATCAACAAATAAATCCAAGTTAAAGGCCAGTAGTTAGGCTAAAAGGCTGAATAAATATCAAAACCACTTTAAAAATATCTAGGGAAATGTACCTAACATTTAAGATACTGAGGTCGAGCGAATCATTGAACATCCTCTTGACATTAAACCAGATGCGGAACTTGAAACAGCTTTAAAAACACCAAAACTAGGAAAACAGCTGGACTTGATAACATTGGGAGACTCAGAATTTCAACGATATTCTACTCCAACTGTATAACGCTACCTAACGAAGAAATCGTAGAAAGATAGACAGAAGGTTGCATACTTTCTTTCCCAAAGAAAGGAGATCTAGTATCGGCAAAATCTTATAGACGAATCACACCTCCATTACAGCAAAAATTTACAACTCAAGGCTTCATAGCAGAGTTTAACCGGAAGTAAACGGCTTTCGAAAAAAAATCGATCAACCGTTAGGCAAATCTTGACTGTTCAGCGGATTATTGAGAGCGTCATGGCAAAGAACCTACAGACCGCCTTACTTTTTGTACATTTCTCTAAGACCTTCTATTCTGTACATAGAAGTAAAATGGAGATCCTTCTTGCAGATGACATCTTCCTGAGACAGTAACTGCCATAATGATGCTGTACAAAAATATCAAATCATTAGATCTCCAGACGGAGACTAATCTCTTCGACATCAAAGAGGTCCTCAGGGTGACACCCTTGCAACTTTTCTCTTTGTTATCACCTTTGACTACGTACTGAGAACTTTCCTCGGCAAACATCATCATCTAGGTTTTACTTTATCATCAAGACTCCCAAGTCAATATCCAGCTTAATGTTGACAGATGCTGATTATGCAGATAATCTAGTTATCACTGCAGACAACATTACCAATGCCACAGTTCTCCTACATCATCTAAAAAATGCTGTCGATGATGTTGGACTCTAAATGATGTCAATGCCTCTAAAACTGAATGCATAGGCTTCAACAAGCGAGGCTCTAAATAAACTGTTTCAAGTGACTCAATAAACTCTGTTGAATCTTTTAGATACCTGGAAAGCGAGGTAAATTCTACTGAAAATATTTGAAAATTCGTATAGCTAAATCCTGGACAGTCTTGAATAAAATGGATGTCATCTGGAAACCTGATCTAACAGACAACCTCAAGTGGAGATTCTTCCGCGTCACTGGGGAAGTGGTTTTAATGTATGACGTCACTACCTGGATATTAACTAAATCCCTTGAGTCTAAACTTCATAGAACCTACTCTCTGATGTTGAGAGCTATCTTGGAAACAACAACTGACTAAATCACAGCTCTATGGACTTATCCCTGATATTTCTACAATCTTAAGCCAAAGCAGAATACGCTTTTCAGGACACTGCTGTTGAGCGAAGCAAGAATTCGCGAGTGATCTACTGCTCGAAGTACCTAGCCATCGAGCAAGACGGGTTGGCCGCCTGGGAACCACCTACATTGATCAGCTTTGTTATGACACAGAATGGCACTCTAATGCTCTTCCGACCTTGATGCAGGACAGTGATGATTGGCGTAATAGACACATGAATATCCGAACTAGGTTTATCGAATAAAACTTTCTGGTTGCCATTTGATTCCTATACGGCCTATTAGAATTTTATAATATATAATATTTATTAGGTAAATATACTATTAAAAAATAAATAAATAACACAATGTGCGCATTGCTCACTTACATTGTCTGTTTTCCTTTACTCCTAAGCTGGGATCTCAGGTGGTTGGCACTTTTAGGACAGAAAATGGCTATATTCAAATTACCAAGCAATTTAATTTATAAAAGCCATAAGCAAAACAATTTCTTATTTATACAGATTACAAAACACTAGATTGGAAATGAATTGGGTGAAACTGAACTAAGTAATCGCTTTCCCAGCTGACAAAATCTCTCCGTATGCGCAGTACCACGTTCACGTGCGTCTTCTCGCTTTTACTCACTCGCGTGGTGTTTTAATGCAGAGCTGATTTCGCGAAAAATGTGCATACGTCCAACCACTTTCGCCAATAACCCTAGCTCCGAGATCATGTCTTTCTTAAGTTATGGTCTTAGGGCGACCATATTTCTTTTTCCTTTCCATCAGTCATTTTGCGCGCCAGGGATATACATGCTCGCTTTGCCACACGAGGTAAGTCATCTTCTCTTCTACATGAATAGCAAAATATTGTTTTAAATTATTTTAAAAAATGAACATGCAGACTAATTACTCCAATTAAAAACTAGGCATTTGATATTTCGGGGACATTTCCTAATTGCTGCCTCTTTTTGTTAAAGCCATTAGAATCGTGTTGAAATGAATGTTCTAAATGTGAGGTTTAACTTGACTTTTTTTTTAAATCACCTATGTCAAGTTGGTTTGGGCGTTTTCATTCAGTTGCGTTCCATGCATGATACACACATCATATATCTTTCAATACATGACTGACGAGGCAGATTTTTCCCGAAGCAGGTTGACATTTCTTCTGCGGTAGACAAGTTGCCATCTAAGGCTATAAAATCCGGTCTGTCCTGCTATTTACCCATAGCTGGGGGAGGGAGAAGAAGAGGATTCATACCTTTTCCAAGGGTATTAGCACGTAAATTAATGTAATGGATTCGACTGGAATTCGAACTCGAATCTTCAATCCGAGCCGCTATCCATTACTCCACCGTGCCTCCTCCTTACAACAGATATTCAATCAACATATTTTTTTTTTGGGGGGGGGGGGGTATCTGACCCTTCAACTTCGAATAATAACAAAATGCGTATGTGACATTTTTTTCTCCTTTAAAATGTAAGGTCCCAAATATTAAAAGGATTTAAATCAGAAACATGTACAATAATTGTTCTTGAAAATATTTAAGGCGTACTCGGTTCCTATCATATGTTAAATTGATGATTACCCAATTTTAGATAAATATCGGTTTTCAACATGACTTTATATTTATCAAATAATCATGATCAAGATCTCTAATCCTATAATTCTGAGGGTAATAAATCGAATTTTTGACCCTAACAGCCCCCCAAAAGTAATCTAAATTTCGTTAACTGAAAGATTTAAGCTCTTTTCGAGAAGTTTAGCAATACATTGAAGATCAGGGTTTATAGATCTAAACGGCAGAAATGTGAAAGTTTTGTTTTAATCAGCCTCTTAATAGGAATAGATAGATCCACTATCACCGGATCACAATCCTCCCCGGCCTTTTGAACATGAGTTGATGTTTATCGCTTATTTACATTATTCGGACTGCCATCCTGATCTTCACTGCCATATTTACAACGTTTCAGCCGTTGTACGCTCTGGCCTTCTTCAGGTGATTGGATTTTTAAACCGAACCCTTTATTTCGTCCTCCGGGGTAGATTGTTCTAGTTCCACGTACCGAATGGCAATGTAGATGAGGATAACAGTCCGAATAATGTAAATAATGTAAATAATCATAATACCTCATCTCAGAGATATAGACAGATAACGCATAATATACTTAGTGAGCTTGAGTAAATGGATAGCGGAAAACAGGGTTTACGAGAAATAATAGAAAGACAAAGTTCAGGGACAGGATGTTGTGGAGAGACATGCTCGCCTACTTCCAGAGTTGACACAGCACATAAAAAAGATGATGAACACCGTTTGCCAATAGACTCGGTAATAAACACGAAAAGTGTTTATTATATACATGAGGACTATTTTCCCTATTTTTATTGTTATTACAAAATTTCACCGGCCGTGCCTTCTGGGTTTCATCAAGCATGTCAATCCACGGGAAAATAGGCTAGTGGATTAAAACTTTGTTTCGTGAATTTAGTGACATATTAATTGTAAGTTCAATCCCTGGGATGGGCACATTGGACTCAGGGGAAATAGGGCGAGCCATAACCAAGCAGTAGTAAAAATAAAACCTCGTTGAGATATCCCTGGAGATGGGCAGCGAAACGAGAACAGCCTCTCTCCGTAGATTAAATAAAGCGACAAATATCGGAATTGCTTGTAGGTTACCCAGATCGGCATACACCTGATGAAGGCCGGAGGACACAATGACCGAAACGTTGTGATAACAACAACAAAGATGAGGACAATAGTTTGCATTACAATTATAATTAATTTCACCCCAAATAAGGCGATGACACTACTAAGGCGGAAGGGGATCCTGGGAGTGAAGGATAATTGAAAAGACTTTAAAAGGAACTGGAAAACAATCCTACACAGGAAAGAAGCGGGTAAACTTCGACTCCTGTTCAAGAGATCGGGGAGGAGTGTGAACAACGATAGACCAACCTATCTATTCCTATCAAGTAAAAAATAAATAGTAAATATATTGTGAATATGGCAATGAAGATGAAGATAACAGTCTGAATAATACAAATAAGGTTATGCATTGTTTTCCTCTATCGCTCTTGCCCTATGAGTATCAAATTTTCCAAGCCCTCTTTCCGTATGATATGCCCCAGAATTCTTAACTGTCTCTTCCTGATGTTAAGTATGTTTCCTTTTTGTTTCCATTTTCTCTAAAACTTATTCATTGCTCAGATGCTTGGTTCATGGTATCTTCTACATCATCATTAGCAAGTAATGGTCGTCTGTACTCGATTTCGCAAGAATCCACCCGGTAAGTCGCAATTTTGAGGTCATATTCCTCAGTAGGAGATACATTTGGCGTGCTCTTTTCTCTTTCAGACATGGACTGTCACCATTCTCCTCCCACTCTTATTTTCTTTATTCTCTTCCTTACACTCTTGTTATTTTCCTCTTCTTATTTAGTCCCCCTCTTTACGTTTCTCCTTTCGCCAAGCGATTTTTCTCCTCTTCTTTTCTCTATTTCCTTGTTTGCTTCTTCGTCGCTTTGATCTAATCAGCTCCCGATACAAATCTATTTACTCTAATTTCTTTCCTTTTGACTTTCGATTTTCTTCCTCTTTTCATTAAATCTTTCTTTTTTTCATTCTATGTCTTCTTTATCTCGTTTCCTTTCCTTCATTATCTCATTTTCATTTAACTAATGCTTTCTTTTTCGTGTACGCCTCATTTTATGCATTTTTTTATTATTCCTTTCTTTTTCTTTTTTTTTTCTTTTTTCTTCTTTTTAGTCTCTTTCGCGTCTTTATTTTTCAAAGCCTGATGATTCTCTTTCATTTTCCTTGCCCTTTCAATACCGGATTATCTTTCTTTTTCCTTCTCCTCGCAACTCCGGATTCTCTTTCTTTTTCTTTCTGCTTTCACAACTTGATTTTCTTTCTTTTTTTCCTCATCAGTTCAAACGCCTATTTTTTCTTTCTTTTTCCTTCTCATTTCAAAACCATGTTCTTTTTCCTTCTCCTTTCAACACCGGATTCTCTTTTTTTTTTTTTTTTCTTATACATTCAACGCTGGATTCTGTCTTTTTCCTTCGCCTTTCAAAACTTGATTCTCTTTCTGTTTCCTTCTCCTTCAACACCAGATTTTCCTTCTTTTTCTTTCTTCTTCCAATGTCTGGTTCTTTTTTTTTTTTTTCTTTTCCTTGCAACGCCGGATTCTCTTTCTTTTTCCTCTTCATTTCAACGTCTGATATTCTTTTTCCTTCCCTTTTCAAAACACGATTTTCTTTCTTTTTCCTCTCCTTTCAACGCAGGATTCTTCTTCTTTTTCCTGCTATTTTCAACGACGAAATTTCTTTCTTTTTTATCTATATTCGACGCCAGATACTCCTCCTTTTCCCTTCTTTCAAAGCCTCATTCCCTCTCTTATTCCTCCTCCTTTGAACGTCTGATACTCTTTCTTTTCCTTCTGTTTTCAAAACTTGATTTTCTTTCTTTTTCTTTCTTTTTCAAAACCTGATTCTCTTTCTTTTTCCTTCTCCTTTTCAACACCGGATTCAATTTCTTTTTCCTTCTCCTTTTCAACACCGGATTCAATTTCTTTTTCCTTTTCCTTTCAATGCCTTATCTTCTTTCTTTTTCCTCGTCTTTCTTTTCCCTTCTCCTTGCAATGCTGGTTTCTATTTCTTTTTCTTTCTGTTTTCAACGCTTGTTACACTTTTTTTTCCTTCTTTCAAAACTTGATTCCTTTTCTTTTTCCTTCTTCTTTCAACACAAGTTTCTCTTTTTTTTTTTCCTTCTCCGGTCAACGCCGGATTCTCGTTCTGTTTCCTTCTCCTTTCAACGTCTACTTTTTCTTTCGTTATTCTTCCTCTTTAAATGCCTGATCTTTTGCTTCTTCTTACACATCGGATGCTCTTTTTTTTTCCTTCTCCTTTCAATACAGGATTATTTTTATTCTTCCTCCTCTTTTCAATGACGGATTCTATTTCTTTTTACTTCTGTTTTCGAAAACTGGATCTTTTTATTTTCTTTCTTTTTCAAAACCTGATTATCCTTCTTTTTCATTCTACTTGCAACGCCGGATGCTCTTTCTTTTCTCTCCTCCTTTCAACTGTTGATTCTTTTTCACCCCACCCCACCCCCACTTACACACTTTCAATGTTTGATACTCTTACTTTTTCTTTCTCCTTTCAACACAGGATTCTTTTTCTTCTTCCTGCTCTTTTCAATGACGGATTCTCTTTCTTTTTCCTCCTCCTTTCAACGTCTGATACTCTTTCTTTTTCCTCCTCCTTTCAACGTCTGATACTCTTTCTTTTTCCTCCTCCTTTCAACATCTGATACTCTTTCTTCTTCCTGCTCTTTTCAATGACGGATTCTCTTTCTTTTTCCTCCTCCTTTCAACGTCTGATACTCTTTCTTTTTCCTCCTCCTTTCAACGTCTGATACTCTTTCTTCTTCCTGCTCTTTTCAATGACGGATTCTCTTTCTTTTTCCTCCTCCTTTCAACGTCTGATACTCTTCCTTTTTCCTCCTCCTTTCAACGTCTGATACTCTTTCTTTTTCCTCCTCCTTTCAACGTCTGATACTCTTTCTTTTTCCTCCTCCTTTCAACGTCTGATACTCTTTCTTTTTCCTCCTCCTTTCAACGTCTGATACTCTTCCTTTTTCCTCCTCCTTTCAACGTCTGATACTCTTTCTTTTTCCTCCTCCTTTCAACGTCTGATACTCTTCCTTTTTTCCTCCTCCTTTCAACGTCTGATACTCTTCCTTTTCCTCCTCCTTTCAACGTCTGATACTCTTTCTTTTTCCTCCTCCTTTCAACGTCTGATACTCTTTCTTTTTCCTCCTCCTTTCAACGTCTGATACTCTTTCTTTTTCCTTCAAAACCTGATTCTCTTTCTTTTTACTTCTCCTTTGAACGACGTATTCTCTTTCTTTCAAGATGTAGAGGGTTACTTATAACAAAACAGACATGCTAAACGAGGTGTGAGATATGAAAAGTTGAGGAGGATAAGGGGAAAAGATGACGATAAATGAGATATTCGCATTGGGCTTAGTCTAGTCAAGTAGAAGGACTGCGTTTAGGGGGATTGTGTCACGTTAAATGCACAAGTCAGGGAGGGCTTGCTTTGAAAATCTGAATAATTCGTCAATTTTAATGACTTTTATATTCATATGCCTTTTCTACTTATAGCAAGAAACAAAGACAAATATCAGTTTGAAAGAAAATTGAGATTCAAAGTTTTCCTCTTCTCTTCATGACATAGTTGACCATTGTTCTTCACAGCTTCCTTTTCTTTATTATCTGTGAATTTCCATGACTTATAGGGAAAGGTAAACTGGTTCCGCCACTGTTTTGAAGTTGCTTTTCTTCTAGACTGGTTGTTACCTAAAACTAGTGAGCCGAGTCTACTGTGCTATTTAAGTAGAGGTGTGTCCATGCCTTTCCAAAGGGCATTAGTGCGAAAGTGAACGCAATGGACTAGAACAGGTTTTGAACTCATACTTCAGATTCCGCTTTCCGAGCCTATAACTGTTATGATATTTACACATCTTATTACAGAAACAGAAATACCCTTAGAAACAAAGCAAAACGTCCTGGAAAGTCATGTAATATCTAATCTCCGCATGTGACATTGTCACGGCATCATATTGGCTCAAACTGGTGTTTGGTGACTACGGTTGTAGTCTCCACGGCTGCCAATACGCAAAAGTCACACTGTCTCTGATTCTTACTGAAAGTCAAATCAGTCATCACGAGTAGAAAAGAGCTCTTTTAGTAATAAATAGGACAACTCATATGTTCTGTATTGGCTACTTTTATTGACCCCAGTAGGGACATTTTGCCAACTACTTGTCAGTGACGAAGAGAGTGTAGCGTGTGAGAGAAATTCTCTTATCTTAGCGTTGTAGACATATACCCTAAGTGGCGAAAACTATCACGTAATGATTTGGGAGCGAGAAACTCCTATATTGCCAAGAAATCTCGCCTAATCAATAATAGATAATTTGTTAATTCACGGGACATTCTTTTCTTTTTTCTGGAACTTGTGACTATCAACTGACCCTGTCAAACAAATTAGGTTTCAGAAATACGATATATTTACAGCAACCTTTGTGTCTGTTTTTTAGATCATTTTTCTCCCTAATAATTAGATTATTCTTCACTATTTTATACATACAATGTTACACTATCAGGCAGTAAATGCTTCTAACACATGAAGGAAAAACTTATAGCGTCAGAATAAGGGTTCTATTCACGAACGTTGAGAATACGATTAACAGGAAGTAGATGCGACACATAAACAATATATATATATATATATATATATATATGCATGTTTCATTAAAAACGGAAGACCCCATGTCTGGCAACAGGACTCTACACCATGCCACACAAGCAGGAGAACTCAGTCATGGCTGTCAGACAATTTCTGCGGTTACAACACTCCTTACATCTGGTTACGTACCACCCCAGACTGCAAACCCTTGATTATTATGCGTGGGGTGCAGTTGAACGAGATACCAACAAAACACTTTGCAGCACCAAAGATGAACTGAAGGCAAGACATCGTCCAGAAGAGTTGCAAGAGATTCCGAAGTAGTCTGGAGGGCGTTGTTGAAGCCAATGGCGATTTTATGAAATAAATTTATTCTTTAGTATTTCAAGATATCTTTGTGGAATTTTGGTAAATATATCTGTTAAAATGAGATATTGGAGTTATTTTTAGTTTTGCGTAATTTGGACGACAATTTATCAATCGCACCGTGTAGATAGATAGATAGAAAATTAATGACATAAAAACAAAGATGAATAATGAACTGACTTACAAGCTAGCTAGCTAGCTAGATAGATAGATAGATAGATAGATAGATAGATAGATAGATATGAATTGACTGAGATAGATCTCAGTTCCTTTTCTCTCCAAGTGTGGTCTTATCTTTTATCTATTTATAACTCAATTTGTGTATCGCTTAACCAACCGATAAATGTGTTGATAGCAGCAAATAAGTACACCTAGAAAAAGTAATGCAAAAAATCCAACAAAAGTAGACTAAATTCAAAGCGAATAATTCAGATACACAGTTTTCTTTCATCTACTCGAAAAAGCTTCCTTTTCATTTGGCGCGCCGAAACTTTTCGTTTGCCTGGGAAACGCGCCATAAATCAGCACCAATCCATCCCTTCACTCGCAGCTTTATGTCTCCCAACTCACTCCCTAAGCACCAGTCTCTTTCTATTTCTCCCCCAGTGCATGCTATTACTCATCCTATCACAATCACTGCTGCTGCTGCTGCTTTTCTAAATGCTTTTATCAACCGTTGCTGTTTTAATTTTTAATTAACGAATTTTCTTGTGTATAATACAAGAAAATTTGAACGAAAATTAAGGGAAAAAAAGGTGGGCTCGTATTATACAGGACTACACGTTCTCAGAATCCTTGACTCAGTTTAAAAAAAGACTCTTATTTGAAACGTCAAGATTGCAAATATACTCAGCACAATAGATTATAAAACACAAAGTCAGCAGATATTTATAACAATTGTTTACAAAAGGTATTTGACATGTCGTTAATATTTGTTCTTTAAGAATCAGCTTATTTGAAATTCTTTTTTCTGAAAGACAAGAAATTCACCGAAATTGATTAAAAGAATTCATAAAGAGAATACAAAAGAGCTGTCTGGTTTTGTTACACCAAAACGCCTTTCTTCGAAAATAAGCTTTAAAATGGAAATTAGAAGAAAAATGGCGAAAAACCCGATTCATTTGTATTCTTTAACATCATGAAAATATCTTTTAAAATTCCCTTGCGTCTTATATGCCACATGCAGGTTTAAGATTCGCGATAGTCGGCCGAAATTAGCTACCTAGCAATTCCTCTTAGCTTAGACTTTAGTGTAACTTTCAAATACCTATTGTCATTATTTAACCCTAGACACTAAGCATGGGTATATAGTACCCAGCGCAAATTTTCCTATTTTTAATTACAATTTTCAGTACCTGATTTTCTTACCCAAATAATATGTTTTTCATTCCCTATTAATTTTAACTCAAAGTACAAAGTTTGAAGTGCCTGCATGTAAAATATTTCAAATAAAGATTTATATATTTTTTTATTTTTTATTTATTTATTTTTTTTTTTTTTTTTTTTTGATATTTTCAAAATCAGATATGATATACATGTGGTTGGTAATGGTGTAACTTTAATTGATGGTTAGTGTTCTAGTGTTAAAAGGTTTTTATGCAGATTAAAAGTGTTATCATTGATAATGTTCATTATTAATTTCATTACGTTTAATATTATTACTTTGTTTCACTTGAATTATATGCAATAAATTCAAATTATATATTTGTAAAATATTTTTGTTTCATTGATATTTTTCTTGCGATAACTTCCGGTTACACTGGTATGAATACAATAAGAATTTTTATTTCC